CATGCAAAATACTAAGGCACACCCTTATGGTGTATTGCCTGGGTCGATCCAGTGCACTTACATGCGCCAGTGTTAAGTCCCATCCAAAGGACATGACCCTAACGGAAAAATAAAGGAAGAATGCCTTGAAGCTGGGAGGAATACTTTAAACACAGATCTATAAACAGGCAGAAGCATTTTGCCCCCAAAAGAGGTCAATGGTTTGAACCCAACACTTCCCCAAGTTCACGCTGGTTGTCAAGACCCACTGTTTCAATGCCAGGACTATCCCCGTTGGAAACGACCAAAGGTTACAGCACATCACCCGTACAATTCGGAATGTAGTACTTCTCAATCAACCAATCACGGGTCTCCGTCCCTGCTTCTGCAGGGTGGTGCTGATGACTCCTCTCTTGATCGTTGATCATTCCATCAATCACTGAGGTCTAATCCGTCAATGATCTAAATCAAAAACTGGCCAAGAGTCCGCTCAGACACTTCTCGTCCACCCCCCTCCCCTTTACCCCACTGTGACGGACTGGTGACATGTTAATCCTCTCCCTGGGAATACCGGCTGATTTATAGAGGAAGGAGGTGCCGTGGTCCTGGGGCGCCCGACGGTGGTGAAACAATTGTAAAGAAAGCGTGACCAAACACATGTTCGGGCAATTTTTTTTTTAGATGACAATGGAAGAGGTACATTGTACAACGTATGCATAAATCAAGGGTGATTGTGTTATTGAAAGCAGCTTGAGTTACTCATCATCTAAGGTACGTTGTTATTTTTTGTAATCAGACTTTTGTTGGTATAGTAATTTAAGCTCAAACTAATAAGAAAACAAAATTCTGGTGAATTCCCCAATATCCTCAATCATTCATTCTGAATTCGGTGAATAGTTGGCAAGGTATGAAATAAATTTGAGTGGATACAATTTCCCGATTTCATTTAAAAGTGCATCAAGAACCAATTCAAAGCATGTCAAAAACTGAATTTGAGAGCGTAAATGAAGAAAATCAATGATGAAGTTATGTTTTACATGTAACTTCAAAAAGAAAATCAGCCTATGCCTTCAGGAATTGCTGAAATCTTTCAACTTGCACAATTTGCATCAGACTTTCCCCGAAATGCTCAAATGAGAAGAGGAAATCTGTCTGCACATGTGCTGCACTTTCTTTGACATGCAGACATTTTCTGAACCCTTGGACATTTCCAAGATTTTGGAACTTCTCAGAGGAGTAAAAGGACACAAAGCTGGTCTCAAAGCCAACACATGGTGCCATCCAAACCAGGATATCTGGCAGCTTCATGTACGTGCACGACCAAGATATGCCCTCTTCACTCCATGTCTAGTGTTTGCATTCCAAAGGGTACATGAATTTTGGTGACAAATCAAACATTTTTCCCCAAAGTGCGTCTGGAAGAGAGGCCTTTCGAAACTGAACTCTGTCTTGGGGGGATGATGGAATCCTCGCGAGAGATTATCCAAGCACATTATCTGACTCTCCGGCAGGATGAGTAAACATGACAAGTCCTCGACTTGGGACCAACTGACACGCTCATTGTGTTTGAGACTGTATGCTTGCACTTGTACGGAGATACCACATGTAACTTCAGTGGACTGCATGTGCATTTCCAACATGTGGAGTCAATAATGGAACGTGACTCGCAAACTTGATTATCTAGACTCAAATGTTCATGGGGGAACAAAATTAGACAGTCTGCGACAACTTTTAAATCTTAGATAGAGACTGTTAGGTGGACTCTCCCGTGTTTGTTTGGATGGGCAAATATTCAACTCAATTAAAGCTCCACAACTAAAACTGGCCTTCTACATATGGCAAAAAAATCTGAGTAACTAAAAGTGTGCCCATACCATCAGCATGAAACTGAACCTGGTTGGTAACTGCTTTTCCATATGATATCAATTGCAATCTCATGTTGAATATGCCTGCAGCTATCAGCAGGTGACGCTATCTGGGGACAGGTAAATGAAACCGTTTTGGTATTTGGTCCAAGGGCATTATGGGTTGACTGTGACAAGACACTTTTCTGCTTAGCATGACTCCGAGCTGGAGGGGAGGGTGGAATTGAGGTGGCATAGCACAGCTCCCTGCTCTGGTCCTTTGGGAGTAAAGAAAAAAACTTTCTAAACCAAATTTCAAATATGCCAGTTTTCCCAGGCAAGAGTTTATATACCCCCCAACTATAAACTAGCTATGGATGTCTACATTACAGCGGACCAAATGATGACTATCAAGGGAGGAAGGGGAAAAAGTGCATAATCACCAGCACATAATGCCAGCGTAGTCCCGACAGTGTGAGTGCGTGTACATGTATGCACTTTTAATGTATGACTGTTGCCACATGTTAACAACAAAATACCTACACCTGACAGAGAATGTGTGCTACTGGGTTGGGCCAAGGTGAGCCACGATGTGGTACGGCATGTGCGTGCAAGGTCACACTGCGTTGAGCTGGAGAATGAAATTGCAAACAGTCGTAAGATTCTGATGACTCAGGCCGGGACTGGAGCGTCAGGCCTTGAAAACCGCTGATGAGAAGAGGTGATGCGTTTTCACAACAACTGTAACATTAGACAAGAATTCACTTTCAAGGAGTGGCACACCAGGGAGATGGAAGCAAATGTTGCTCATCATGCAGGTGCACCTGCTCACTCAAATCAAGCCCGCGCATAAAACACGGCAGGTGGATTGGTGGCCTGATTTCCCA